AATTCCCCCCCCCCCCCCATAAAACTACTCCATTTAAACAAATAAATAGGAGAAGAGATGAAGTTATAAAATATATTTCAGTAAAAAAAAGTTACAAAATATATTTAAGATATAATAATTCTAGCAAGTAATTCATTTTAATCGTTAAAGAAAAAAAGCGTGTGAGTGAAATAATGGCTTAATCGCTCTTCAATATCGTTATCATAATTAAATAGAATATATGTTTTATATTCCTTTAGAATAAAAAATATTAAAAAAAGATCAGTAAATAACTTGGATAGTTCTTTGATTGACTATTCTAAGGTATGGGCATATTATTTTTTTTATTAATAAACAAGTGAATTCGATGACTTATAATTTAATAAAGACAATCGAGTTTTAAACTAATTTTAAGGACTATAGTTGCATTCCTTCTTATATTGTTTATCATATTATTAATAATGATATGAGTTAATCTTATCCCTATAAAAAAAAATTACAAAAATAATGTAATAAAGATTAGGTTCTCATATTTTTACAACTTCAATTCTAAAATTTTACGTTATGAATACATGAAAATAAAAAATATAATTAAATAAAGCAAACTTTCAACATTTATTTTAACATGTAGTTTAATTTAAAGACTTAAATATGTTTTGTTTTTCAAATTTAAGATAAATTTATTTTTTCTCAAATTTAAAGTTAATATTTTTGAACTTATAATTTCAAAAAAAATTTATTTTAATTCTTAAACTCAAGTTTGGTTAGTTTTTATTCTCAAATTTTATTAGAGAATCTATTAAATATTGTTATATAAAAAATTTAGGCAAAACACCTAATTTGGTCCCTTATAATAATTAATAATTTCAATTTCGTCCTTCAATAATTTTTTGTTTCAATTTAGTCCCTCATAATTTAAAAAATGTCAATGTGGGACTTTTCGTCCAAATTTCACAAACGGCGTTAAAGGTGATGACGTGGATGTCACGTAGATGCATAGGTGACATGCCTTCTCTTCCCCTTCTTTAATGATCTGGAACGGCCTATTCTGAAACCAGAACGGCCCGTTCTACTTGCATTCTTTGTGTGTTAATTTTGCATCTAGAACGGGAAAAACACACACAAAGAATGCAAGCAAAACGGGCCGTTCTGGTCTTAGAACGGGCCGTTCCAGATCCAAGGATTGTTCTTGAATATCTTAGTTCTCTCTATATTGAAATTTTAACTGGGGCAAATTGTGAACCAGAATTGATTTTCTTTAAACTTTTTAATATAGAGTATCGTCTCAATTTGGAGGAATTTAATGGTATCTTTAGATTTCAAACCATAAGGAAAAAAATCCAAGATCATTTAATTCATACATGTTTTAGGGGGTTGTAATAGGTAATACACAATGGGAAGCTGGTTAATGCAATTTATCTACATTTGTCATGCTGTCATTAAAATTATGCATAAGTTTATTGCATCTACTGTTCTAGGTCGTGGCAGCTCGATAAACTACGCCTAATTGATTTATTATTTATATGGGCAATGATGAAAAATAAGGATGAAAAGATCAACTCTAGTGCATATTTTAATATTTGAATTTATGTTATGTTATGAATTTTTGTTTTCAATCTTTGAACCACATTACTACATTTTGTTGAACATTTTGTTGAAATGTAACACTTAAATTTAAACATCAATCCTGGTTGGCGTTCCAGAACGGAAGAACTCGTTGCGTGTTACATTTGCATATGGAACAAGCCGTTTCAGTTACAAAATTAACACACAACGAGTGGGATCAGAACAACCCGTTCTGGTTTCAGAATGGGCTGTTCCAGGTTCATTAAAGAAGGATTATGGAAACTTGTCATGTATGTATTTACGTGGTATCCACGTCATCTACATTTGACACCGTTTGTAAAATTTGGACAGAAGTCCTACATTGACATTTTTTAAATTATTGGAGACCAAATTGAAACAAAAAATTATAGAGAGATGAAATTGAAACTATTAATTATTATAAAAAACCAAATTAGATATTTTTCCTAAAATTTATCTAATAATTTTTTTGTTATTAAAAAAATAACATTAAATCTAATATCTCGATTTATCATTTTTAAATATATTATTAGTAATTTTAAAAACAAAAAAATAAAAATAAAAATTTTAAATTTAAAAATTAAAAATAAATTTATTCTAAATTTAAGATACTAAAAACACATCTAAAACTAATTTTAACTTAATTTTGGGAAAAACACAGGTCAGAAACCAGAGGTGAGAGATCATGAAATCAAAAACCAAATCAAAATGAAGAAGACTTGAAAAGAATGTTTGCGTAGCATACTGATTTTCATGGGCTGATCCGAAGCATTATTCCTTCCTCCACAATATTGATGATCACATCTCCGCCCCACATTCACACTTCCACCCACACCAACTCCTACACGTTGCTTTTCTTCTTTGCTTTTTTTTTTTTTGTTGTTGTTGCATAATCCGAACCCAACCCATACGGTGTTATGGGGATTAGGGATTCACACCTTAATCAATATCTATAAAAACACATTTTTTTAAAAAAAATCACGACCACTTTTGCTGATAGAAAGTTATTAAATGCTATTTTAATGTAAGCAAGCACCTTCAAGATAATTTAATTTATGCTGAAACTTCTCGTTTACCCCAAATACAGTACAAGGAAAAACGATGTTATAATTTATTCAAGGCGATATGCAAGTAGCTGGCATCAGCATGTTAAATTTTTGCATTAAAATCCACCAGAGAAAAAAAGGTTTTGCATTAAATTGGTGGTTAATTAATCCATAGAACGAGTTTTCTTACCTTAACTTGATAAGCAACAAGCTGGTTAGGTTAGTGCTCTTGTTGTTGAGCTAAATTTCCTCTCTTTTCAGTGTCTGCAGAAGCATGATTATTTTAATTGGTAGAAAAAAAAGTGTAATGAGAATGCACAGTGGAGGGTGTAGTTTCTTTTAGCGAAATCACACATTTCTTAATAGTGAAGCCGCGAAGTACAGATAGGAAAGAAACCAAAAAAGCTGTTAGATGTCATTATCAAAGGCTTAAAAAGGTGTGGGTAGAAGAGATGGCCATTGAGAGTTACCTCTCTATCATCCATGACCTTAATCATAGCATAGCATCCATGTAGAGTTATTAAACAAGTTGAAGAGTGAGTATATATTAGAAAGGAGAAAGTTGAGGGGTTGGTTAAACTCCAAAGAGATGAGTTGGGGTTCGTGACAAGGCCTTATACATATGCATTTGTGGGGCTATAAAAAAAGACCAAAAGATCTTTAATCTCTTCTCTGAGCACACTCTGCCTCGCTTTGCAGAAGCATCAACAAGCCCTCATAGGCCACAGGTACCATTTTTTTCTCCCATTCTTTCTTGCAACCCCATGTGACATCTCCTCAGCTCAATCAAAAGTTGGATCAGTCACAGAGTTCAATGTTCTATTGTAGTTTGTGATTTTACCCTCCCAGTACAACCACTTCAAGTCATTGAAAGTTGAAATAGTCCTGCATATATGCTTACTCTTCACAAAACTTACGTAAAGCAACTCCAACTCCAATTCCAACAGTCTACTAATTTACTCTGTCCTTTTACTCCCTTGTGTGTAGATAAAAGCCAGACACGTGAGTCAGTCACCAAAAGAGCATTTAGTATTTTACCCTTGTTTTTCTATTTTCATTCATTGTTCTTCTTGAGTCCTAGTGTTATTGGATAGGGAATCTTAATAGGTTGCAATTGCAGGTTTTGTTTTTTTGGGATCAGCAGCAGTGGCAGCATCCTCAGTAGCTGCAGCTCAACAATTAACCACAGTTAAGAGTGACAGGAACCAAAACCAAAACCAAAGAGTACCAAGTACCATCCTCAACAAAACCTAATAGAAGAGTAAATAGAAAAGGAATCTGAATCTGAGGCCCCCTATTGACACAAGAATAAAAAAAAGTAGAACAAATTTTGAGCATATAAAGTGTGTCATCAAGTTGTGCAAGGCTAAGTATGGTGCAGAAGGCACAATAGAAGGAGGTGGGGAATGGGAATGAAGAGCACAGGGGGAGAGATTGTTCAAGTCCAAGGAGGGCACATTGTTAGGTCCACAGGTAGAAAAGATAGGCATAGCAAAGTTTACACTGCAAAGGGTCCTCGTGATCGCAGGGTTAGGCTTTCAGCACACACAGCCATTCAGTTCTATGATGTTCAAGATCGTTTAGGCTATGACAGACCAAGCAAGGCTGTGGACTGGCTCATCAAGAAGGCCAAGAATGCCATTGACAAGCTCGCTGAGCTTCCTCCATGGCAACCTACTCCCAACACTGCAGATGCTGAGAACAACAATGCAGGGTCAAGTGACATGGCCATTGCAGAACAATCAGAGTCTTCTGGCTACAATTTTCAGCTGCAAAGGCAACTAGGTGAGGACCATGATAATAACCACCACCACTCACCTTTCATTCCTTCTCCTATTGACACTGATGCAATAGCCTTCTTTCCCACAACCACTGCCACCTCCTCCATCAACTTCCAAACCTACCCTCCTGACATAATCTCAAGAACCAACAACTCCACTGAGGATCTTGGCCTCTCCCTTCACTCCTTCCAAGACCCTGGCTTGATTCATGGCCAGCCCCAAGCAGGTGCAAACCAAACACCTTCCAATGACCAAAACCAAACCCTCTTCTCTGGCTCAACTCAAGTGGGGTTTGAGGCCAATTACCCCAGGATTGTGGCTTGGAACAATGATGCAAGTACTGCAGATATGAACAGAACCGGCTTCATGGTCAATTCACAAGCACTTCTAAGCCAAGGTGGTTCTAATGCATATTCCCAAAGGGGGACCCTTCAGTCCAGTTTCTCACCATCACTTCGTCCTTGGAGTGACATTCCCATGGCTTCCTCAGAACATCATCACAAGTCACAACCAATTCAACAGGCTTCCATCTTTGGCAGCAGGTTCCTCTCTGATGCATTGCCAGGGTTCTGCATTCCTGCTAGAATTCAAGGTGAGGATGG